CCCCCCCCCCCAAATGTGCCAGACCGGAACGCTGGCGTGAGTTAGGAAGGGAGGGGTGTCGTTTGTTGTTTGCAGGACGTCGCCCGGCCTGCCGCTGCCACTACTGCGGCCACGCCGGGCCACGGCAGTCAGCGAGGATGTTCGCCACGTTCACGGTCACACGATGCGTACGCGGTGCAGCGCTAGCGCTCGGTGAAGCGGAGGTGAACCGGGACACTGTGGGAAAAAACAACCTGCAAACAATCGCAAACAATAAAGAAATCAAATTTATTTTGAACACGGGTATTCTTCTAATTAGACACCAGACACAGACACCCACACCCTATGATTGGCAACGTCGAGCTTCAGTCTTTCAAAATAAAATAAAATACAGTTTCATCCGCTTAGTTTCCCATTGTAAACGGTTTGGACCTATGGCAAATCAGTCCACCAGGTGGCCGATTCACGCCGCGCACCTTCGTACTATGCAACCCGCCCGCACGGCTCCATCCGGGACTGTATACCCACCAGGCGCAGGGGACCAGAGGACCGGCTCCTAGCGCCAACGCGTCGCTCCACCACTGATGTTGCAGCCAACGCTCAGGGGCGTACAAAGGAGTTGTTCGCGGTTACACGCGGGTTCCCGCGGGGGTAATCCGCGAGTCCACGGGGGTAGAACGCGAGTCCACGGGGTGACTCGCGGACCGCGAGCTACCCCCGTGGCAGGGTCCCTGGACTGCGAACTACCCTCGCGGCGCGGACCCGCGAGTCACCCCCGCGGACCCGCAAGCACCCGCAAATCACAACCCCTTTGTTCGCCCCTGGGCGTTGGCTGCGAACATCAGTGCTGGAGCGACGCGTTGGCGCTTGGAGCCGGTCCCCTGCGCCTGGTGGGTATGCAGTTCCGGATGGAGCCGTGCGGGCGGGTTGCATGGTACGAAAGCCCCCTGTCGTCCCTAGAGAGCCGCCTGAGAGGTAGGCGATTTGCGACACAAAAAACCTGTATGTAGGCAACCGACAGTTTATCCCCCCCC